CACTACGTGCTGGGCTCCCTAGTTTGGAAGTTATTAAACCTAAGCTTCTAACACTTCTATAAGAAACTAATGCACCGTCACAGTAATGTCAGACGAAGACATTACAAATACAGAATATTATTGAAAAGTGCTATAAGTTTCTATTAGTCATTGTAAGAAACATTCGACACTGAACGCATGTACTATACCTAAATTTAATCTGCCTGTTATGTCTTAAAAATCCCATAAAGCGAATCTAATTTTGGATTTTCCATTCATTAGAAAAGACGAAACACCTCCAATGAATTGAAAGTTAATGACTATCAAACTTTGACTATCAAATTCCCGGATATTACATATTTAATCAACATATCACAAACTGCCCCGCAATAATAAAGTAATTTTCCGTTATTTATAATTTTGATGACATCAAAGCAAATGACAGTTATTTCAACATGGCGGAATCTGTAAGTATTGATCAATGACAGACGGAACTGGAAATTACGTCATTAACGCATGTTTAGTGTGACGGGACGGAACTAGAGGTGATTACGGATGACCGGGAACGCGATATGGCGGAATATAAAATGTTGGATGGATCACTCGGCTTTACCTGTGGATTTACTTTTGAAATGTTATAATTTCTAAAAGACAATTATCACTTACATAAAATCATTATGGGATGAAAAATGATTCAAGATTATCCCAAATTACATACGTATGTCAGATATTATCGTATTATTATTACACTTATTGTAGTTACACAACTAAATTCAGGTTTTCTATCATTGACCTGAAAGACCTTTAAAATATATAATACGACATATCAAGCACAAATTCATAATATAAAATTACATTCAATTCAAACATACAACATGCATTGGCGAGAATAAAAAGTAAAAAATGTTTAGACGCAGCACGACTACACAAAGCATCATTATCAACATTAATATAAGCCGCGGTCGCCAATTCACATTACTATAAATATAACGTAAGAAAAACAAACCGCAATAATATTTAATTGGCAAATATTTTCTCTGGACTAAATGTTACAACAAGCAAAATAATGAATTTCTTTAATAAAAGTTCTACAACTAAAATTAGGAGCTCATAGGAGACGTCACGTCGTCGCTGCGAGCTGACTCATTTTTCTACAAAAGATTAAAGCGATTTCTATTTAGTTTGATAAAATCAAAATCGACGTGGGTGCCTGTTTAGAAAAAGAAACGACGAACCCATGAAATTGTATTTTTCGCCTGTAAACGGGAAGTTTTTCCTCCATATAGATATTTGCACTTTAATAAACTCTACAACCAAACCAAACTCTACACTCTCCAACCCGCCTACCTGGAGAATATGGCAAAACCTCTTATGATGGAAAGGTTAATTTCACAGCCCAACAATGAACTGTCTATGATATTGTATTTCTTATAGAATAAGCCGGTAAACGAGCAGACGGATCACCTGATGGTAAGCAATCGATGATTGATAAAAAAGATGAGGTGTTACAAGTGCGTTACCGGCCTTATGAGGATTAAGAATTTGAGTATTGTTGGGGATTCGGGGGTTGAGGAGATTGGGGAGGAGGTGATTGGGAGTCCAGTAACTTCACTCACACAATGAAATAAAACGCAAGCGATGTTTCACTATGTTTTCCTTTGAGGCCGTGGTATCACTCCGGTCGAGCCGGCCCATTCGTGCCGAAGCATGGCTCTCCCACACTTAAAGTTTAATAACATAATTTCACGCCTTTTATCCCCGAAGGGGTAAGCAGAGGTGCATATTACGGCACTTAATGCCACTGTACAATGTAACACCCACTTTTCACCATTTATGTTACGAGTCCCATGTAATAGGGGTGAGCCTATTGCCAGTGCACAGTTCCAGACTGTGCTACTACTGAGATTTTTGAACAAACCCAGTAATATTTTGCCCAACCCGGGAATCGAACCCGAGACCCCTTGCCCGGCAGTCGCACTTGCGACCACTCGGCCAACGAGGCAGTTAAAGTTTAATAACTTTTGTTTAATAAAAGATGAGCTAGAACCAAGCATATGTATAGTCAGAATTTAAGACTATATGCAAGTAATAACATCACTATCGGGTTTATATCGCAAATTCTCGCTTCGATAAATTATATATTCATAAGGATTGAACCGTCGAACATCGCGCTAATACTGATAATATTCAAATTATAACTGTTTTGAATAAAACATACACATAACTACTTAATGTCTGAATAACCAGTGAAGTGTAAAATGGCTTTAAGCTTTCATTTTTAATGTCTCGCATCGAATTGATATTGCAATAAAGGGCTGATGATAAAAATATTGAAATAATGTCTGCATAACTTGACGGAGTAAAACGGTTTTAAGTGTATGTATATGGTTGTTATTTGATGATAAATTTAATAACTGATATTATAAACAGAACTGCAGTGAAAATAAAACAACACTAGGGAGCATCTCCGGGGTAAGGGCAGAATAATAATTTTCTTTCTTAGATAAATGCGTCCAAAAGCTTCTAAGAGGCTTTGGCGCTTTTCCCAATGCCAGTAAATAGTTTAGTAAATAGTAATAGGTTAGAATTATTAATAGTAATACTATTGAGCCTTTTCCTTTCTGTGGTTTAGATTTTGATGGTAAAATGATAATAGTGTCGCCATCTATCGACGTAACTATATCATTCGAAGATGTCATATTCATATCTAATAAAGTAACTAAGTATTTTATTTTTATGTCACTTAAAGGGAACGGGCGGACTGATCGCCTTGTCGTAAGTGGTCAGCGCTGCGCGTGGAAACATCAAGACCAGACAAGAGAAGGAACAAATGCGTGGTCGACCTTTTAAAAATGAGTTTGTGATTTTTATTACCGAACTTGACTTGCCACACAGGTAACCAGGCAAACAGCTGCGTAGTGGTCTTGTTTATTTTATAAACACGGCACGAGTTAGATTTTGAATTCTAGTCCTAAGTTAGTTTCTTTTTTTATGGCATAAGCCGGTAAACGAAAAGACGGATCACCTGATGGTAAGCAATCGGCGTCGCCCATGGACACCTAGAACACCAGAGGCGTTACAAGTCCGTCACCGGCCTAAAGTGCGTTACAAGTGCGTTCCTATATAATTGTGAAAATTACCGGCATGAATTAACTAAAAATTACGATTATTTACGTTACTCACGTAAATAATTATACTGAGAAAAGCTCAACTAGTTTCGAGTCTCACAGGGACTCTTCCTCATAAGCAGCGTGCGCGGTCGCGGTGATGTCGCTTAAGTAGCTTTTCTAAGTAAATTCACGTGAAATAGGAACGGTTTTTTTATTTAGTTAGCAAGAGTCTGACACTCCCTTTTGCCTCAGAGAAGACATTAGATGATTTTCCCCTCTCAAAAAAAAAAGTATATTTAGGTACGTGAGTAACTCATAAATTTAAGTTAATTCAGCATGTCTCACGATAGTTATTATAAAAACATTATCAGCGTGGACGTGACAGGATTATTAATTGATAGTAAGCTCCATGCACTTTGTACATAGGTTATAGTACATATATTATTTATGCAAGGCTAGTAGGAGATAGGGTACTGAGGTTTCTACCTACCCTCATGAAACAAAACTATAAACTGACATTCTTTTATTTCTTAACTAAATGAAATAAATTCTTAGACTTACTTTTCCCCCATTTTTAATATTGTTCGGTAGCTTCATAAAACAATGGCTGTGTTTACTGCTTGCGCTGGCGCAGACTGAACAAGTTATTTTGAACGGCTGACAGCTGACACGTTCCTTTTCGCTGTCGATGCGTTTACATTTCACTTTACGGCAGCCAAAGTTGTAAAACTACTTGTAGTTTGTAATACACGGTATGATGGTAGACGCCGTCTGTGGTAGTTTAGTGGTCAATTATATTGTTAAGATTTTCATTTTTAGAGGATAGAAGATCGGTTAAAACTAAGTTGTTAAGTATGTACCTACTAGTTTTTGATATAGTCTTTTTATAATATTTGAATAGGATTTAAAGGAATAGAATATTTAAATAGTAAGCACCTAATGCTATAAAATGGGGATGGCAAATATCAGTGGGTATTGTATTAACGTTTTTTTTTTCAGTTTCTCTTTTGCAATCTTCTAAAATTATTCTCGTCCTCCTTCTTATTGCTTTTAATTCTTCTAATGTAAAACTATTTATTGTAATATAAAGTAGTCACCATGTTGAAAGCCATATTCAACCGTGTTAAATCTGCTGATGTCCAGTCTTAGAAAATCCGTTTTAGAGGAGGCGCATAGGCCAGCGGTGGTCTGCCATAGTTGTTTCAAATTGTTGTTTTTTGTTAAGTATACAAGTTGAATTGATACGGAATCTGAGTTTCTTTAGTTTTAATGTTCGGGTATTCATTTAAGACAAAATTATGTATAGTTAGATAAATGTTAATATTTATCAGAATGCGCTAAACCAGTGCGCAGCTGAAACATTAAAAAACGTCAAATCTAATTGCAACTGCATAATTATGCAGTTTTACATTCATACAGCAGCATGTAGGTTACATAAGATTTTATGCCAACTTAAACAATATTGAGAAAAGAATAGAAGTGTCAATAAGATATCTAATATTTAAATAATTATCGTTCAAGTAATAAAATATCAGCGCATCATTGATTATCCCCTACGATGACACTCGACGGCTCCACTCAAGTGACAGGTGATCAACATTAAAGTCTCATTAAATAATTACCACCATTAATAACTTAGTGTTCAAAGACATTAATCACAAACACTTATTAATCAACTTCGCCAGGCTACAACCTGAACTCTACTACAACTGTAATAGTTATTATACTTAATTAATTAATCGATGTTTTATTTTATATTCTACATCCTGATGTGACGGTACTTTAGAAAGTTATTAAAGAAACATTCATTCAATCATACACAAACTCCATTAAGAATCAACTTCGCAGAGTCCGCGACAAAGTGTAGGCCTAACCGCGTCCACAATGACAACATGCTGTACATGAACAGAAATAAATAAAAGCACCCAATGATACTAGTCGGTCGTTTCGGAAACATCGTTTATTGCTTCATAACTTAAATTAAGCCTCTTATTAAGTTAGAATTTAAATATAAATCTTACATTAATAATAAATAGCGTCACCATTACTGTACACTGTCCACATATCACAGTCACTTTGCCTTTATCAAGATATGTACGAATATCTTACAAAAGACCCATCTCTCGTCTCACTAATCAACTGTGCTTCACTAAATGATCTGGCTCCTGGCTGGGGGGACTCATGGGGGGCGCGATCCCGTGTATCCTCCTGTACAACTGATGGTAGGAAGCGGGCGGCGGCGGCGGCAGCCTCAGCAGCGGGCTGGGCAGCGCGTACCGGCCGTACACGGACAGCAGCGGCGGGTACAGGCCCACCAGCGACGCGTACGGGTTGCCGAACATCGGGTGCAGCAGCGCGCCGCGCTTGAACGCCGCCAGCCGCGACCTGGACGCCGCCGTGGAGCGCCGCCGCAGCTTGCCCGTCGTGCCCCCGATGAACACATCATCCGAGGAAGGGTCCAGCATCCAGTAGTTCCCTTTCCCCGGGTCGTCGTAATGTCGTGGAACTTTCACGAAACATTTGTTCAGACTGAGGTTGTGCCGGATGGAGTTCTGCCAGCCCTGTTTGTTCTCCTTGTAGTACGGGAAGTTCTTCATGATATACTCGTAAATGCCGTTTAGTGTCAGTCTTTTCTCAGGGCTGCTGCGGATGGCCATCATGATGAGAGCATTGTAGCTGTACGCCGGCTTCTCATTTTTCTTCTCCTCAGGGAGTGTGGAGGAGCCGGGTGGAGGGGTCTCGGTGCCCGTGACATCGAGCTCAGTGTCTGAAGGTGAGGGAGACCGGGACGATGCTTCGGGGAGCAGGTTCCGGATGGCGAAACTGTGTGGCGCTGTCATAGTGGTGCGACATCTCGGGCGGCCGGCACTCGACTGGCGGGCCGCGGCCGCCGGCGCACAGCCCCGCCTCTCGGCACCGCCTATACACGACCCTCCTACCTTCAGCATGGGTACTACAATACAAGCTGTTACAATTACAACTCTGTCCCATTCACCGTAACGTCTATATTCCTTTGCAGTGTGCTGAGTTTACTTATCACATTAGTAAGGGAATGCCCATAGGGTTGTCGGGGTTAAAACATTATAGAAATTAAAATGATCCGTCATGGTTTTGTAAACAGTTTTTTCTTTAATATTTCACGCGTTGTTTAGCGGTTTATTTAGTGCGTTATTATTTGTTGTTAGCTGTTAATAGTTCAGCAGATGTGCGGGTTACTCGTATATTAATTGTTACTATTTGACAAATAGTTTGTTGCGTCATCATAATAATGTGTGACAATAGGTTTATTACTTTAATTTATTGTAGCAGAAAGTAATTAATTGTAACATTTGTAGCCGTCATTAATCGTAGCGGTATTAAAAAACCGTATTAAGTTGTGACCGGGTGAAAGTTAGGTAACTCTATTGTTTCGTAGCAAAAGGCTACGAGCGTAGGCCGCGGCGTAGCACCGTAGCATCTTGCTTGACAAAAGAAAGTGCTAGGTGGTAGTTTAGTGAACATGTCGGAAACCTTGCCAAACAAATATATCGAAGGCATTCTGTTAGAACAAATTAACTACTCTATGTAAACCTACGTTTTTAATAACCAGTCGGTACGGAAAGCATAGAATTTCTCCAGTTTGTAAAATGTTTTACAAAAATCCGTGTTTTTAAGAAAGATTTGCCGTTTTTCATGCTAATAAACAACGTCTTATAAAATAATAATGATAATACAGTTGTACGTAACATGAATCGAAAATCAGAACTTCAGTGTTAAGTAATATGACAGAGCAGTAACTATACCTTCTCAAAGACCGTAGTTGCAAAATGAGACAGGCACGCCCCCTGCCACGTTGGATAATATTACTCATAATATCTGAACACTATTCCCCTTCATTTATCCGTTCCTTATTTGTTGTCGACGGGACGTAAAGGGTCATAAGTATTTCAACGAATGTAAGTTAAAATGTTTGGTGGTCTGGATAATTAAAAAATGTAATTAAGTAGGTACCTAAACTTATGAATTATCTCAGAGACGTTATGTTTGAACTATAAACATTTGGTAAGAATTTAGAAATAATTTTCATAGATAATTAATTGTTTTAATAAATTTTATGACAGTTTTCTAACAAAAACACCTGGAAACCTACTCCATTTCTCTAGAAATTTACTTGAATTTTTTATGGTATAGTAGGCAAAGGAGCAGACGGATCACATGATGGTAAGCAATCAGCGCCGCCCATGGACACCCGAGGAGTCACAGGTGCGTTGCCGGCCTTTCAAAAGGAATACGCTCTTTTCTTGAAGGTCGTATCGGTTCAGAAATACCGCCGACGACAGATCATTCCACAGTTTTGCTGTGCGAGGCAGAAAGCTAAACGTGAGAAGCGCACAGTTGTGGACTGCCAACCATCTATTCTATCTAATTCATATCATTTTGAACTAAACTTAAAAGCCAACTGACTATCACAACTTTAATGCAATATATGTAGATAAAGTCGAGTATGACGATGAACAGAAGTCAGACAATTTGCGAATTAAATTCTAAACACACAGCACCACCTCCAATAAGTGACACCTAACAATACCTAACATAATACAGGCACAATAAAACAAAATCACATCTATACACTTCCCACGGAATATAGAATACAATGGAAGTAGCTTGAAACAATATTTCTGCAAGAACCGGTGTAGCCAAACTAATACATTTATAATTTACTCATACTATAAATCGGAAATTACGATTGGTTAGAAAAAAAATGGGCGTAAACGAAATGCAAAAAAAATATCATACGATATGCAACTTTAAAACCAATGTACTATAAATCAAAATAAAAAAGTATGTTTTGGACTACCAAGTACCGCCATTCGTCGCTAGATGGCGTTTAACAATGCCATCTAGCGACGAAAAGTGGTACTTGGTTTGAACTTTAACGTTGTAAGAATAAAGGTGATATTTGAATGGCTTATCACTGGCTCGAATGCGGGTCTCTACTCAGATAGTGATGTAGGATAATTCGATAAAAATAATATCGATAATATGAAAATGTGTTTTAAAAATAATATGAAAAAAAATATTGACTGCTATAGTGTGACAGTATTAAAATAATAAAATTAATATGTCGTTGATAACTTTTTAAACGTAACAAAAAAGGGTAAGTATTTATTTACATGTAAATCAAAAACCATTTTGTTCGTATTTTTTATTAGTTTCTTTTTTCAAAAAATCATTTTTTTTATTTCACATAGGCAATATAAGTAACAACTATTACATAAATTTTTACAAACTTTATATGGATAATGTGATAAATGAGAGGGATGGCGATAAGGATGACGGTGCTGATCTGCTCCGTGAAGTGAAGGTTGCTTCCAATCACGTCGGGGTCACCACTAAAATAATAATAAAAAAATAATCTAAATAAATGTTACATTACACTTGCATCGATATCAATCGATAAATTCAATATGTGATTTGACTACATAACTATTTGAGTAGCGTAGAACTGGCGAGAATGTTCTATTGAATGGAATAAATCCAAAATAAACTTTATCTTGAAGGCGTAAGGTTGATTTTGACTAACCGTTTTAGTAAATAATATTATTTTAATAACTGTTTTTGTAAATTGAAATAAAATAAGATTTCTACAAGAAAACAATAAAAATTGTACTTACCGATGATACGGAACATCTCCATTTTTACGATTTTTCGGCTGCTATCATTTTTACACGCCAAAACGGAACAAAACGGCATAGTTGAGGAAATATGTATTTGACACGAGACTAGCAACTCGACGCCATGTTCAAACGAGACTGAACTCAAATTTGCCTCGAGTAAGCAGTACATAGCTTAGCTGTGGCACGCGTGCCACGCCTACTTGCTACTTCCATTGTATTCTATATTCCGTGACACTTCCGTAGATGTTCCCGGAACAAGACGGCTACACTGCAAGCCCCGCCCCCACGCCACGCCCACCCTGTGCGTGTGTCCGTGTGTTTGTTTACACACACAATCAACACATGCACGATTTAACGTAGACAGACGATGAAGGCATACCTGTAGGATAGAACTAGTGTAGCTAGACTTTGTGTGAAATATAGTTTGTTTATATAGACATGGTAGCTATATATGACATGCCTGGGATTCAGTAGCAGCGATATATTCATGTATATGTACCTATGTAGTGAATGTGTATGTACATACTACGAGGTGATATGTTCGCTACGATGAACTTACTATGCTTAGTATAGTAGATAGAAGTTCATAATGTAGATGGCATCGCTTTGTCTAGGTTTTTGGTTTGTTCACTGATACAAACAAAGTATTAATTAATAGATTTTTTACTACAGATATAAATAAGTACATACATAATCTCACGCCTGTCTCCCATGGGGGAAGACAGAGACTATGGAACGCCAATTGGGTACTTTCCTTAGTCAAAAATAAATTATTTCGACTGTTCAATACAATATAATATTAAAAAATAACTTTAATTAATTGATTTTATGACTAAATTAATTTTAATATTTCTCCAGCAAATTTTAAACAAATAAGTACGCTGTTTGACGTTAAAAAACGTGACGTCACAATATCTCGAATAAAATCATAGAACAAACTCATAGAAAACTGGAAGTTGGAAAAAAGTATTGAATTTGACTAGTTGCCAAGTACCCAATTGCTTCGATTCGGACTACATATCTACCTCTTTTGCTTCCTCAACAGTCATCAGTGTTTTCATGCATGCTGGTACTTTTAATTTGGGCCTTCTTTAATATATCGCTGATAGCCTTTGATTTTTACTACTAAATACAAAAGCTAAATAAATAATCAAATTATACTTTTCTAAAATACGTAAAGCGTAGGTGAACTGCTACTTTTAATCAGGTACCCAAACCCAAGTCTCATTGTGTCACTTTTTTAGCAGCCCGATACTTTTTAACCCGTCTTACTTAGGATTTTCCTATTGTAATCATTAACCATACTTTATCCGAAAGATTGCCTCGTAGGCCGAGTGGTCGCTAGTGCGACTGCCGGGCAAGGGGTCTCGGGTTCAATTCCCGGGTCGGGCAAAGTATTACTGGGTGTTTTTAAATTATCAGTAGTAAGCACGGAGTCGGGGGTTGTGCTTGGTATATGGCAATAGGTTCACCCCCCTCCCCTCACACATGATATGGGACTTGTAACATAAATAATGAAAAGTGGGTGTTACATTGTTCAGGCTAGACCACACGAATAAAATTACTAATAAGTACAGTTAATTATAACTAAAAATCAAACTACATAACATATCTACAAGAACTCCTTTATAGCACTTTGTATATATATAACACATTACTATAACAAGTCGCAAATATTTTTTATTTGTGCAGCTAACAGTAACAGGCGTCTGCTCTGTACGTAAAGGAGGGTAGGCAGAGTGATAGCCGTCGCTAGGACGGGCGCGACCGCGGCGCGTGTTTATGCCACGATTGAGCCAATTGATACGGAACGGGTAGGGAGAGCACGCTGTAGTGTTGATGTGGGACTAGTGGAAATATAAAGGGTCTGAAGAAAGACAGAAAGAAAATATTTGTTTTCGTATCCATAAACTGCTTCGACTCTTACAAATACAAATCCTAGCACTTGATTGAACTTTTAAAGAAAAACCTTACTTAATTATACTGCAGTACCGACAGATATACTAAATATAACGAGTTAGTGTATTTTACAGTAAGAGAGTCTTCCATTTTTATTAACATTTGATTGTTATTTTTATGATCTATAAATGTTTTAAACGCTCTTTTACTTAGTTCAGTTTCAAAACCACTAATCCGTTATCATCCTTCTATCTAAACTTGTAAACAAACCTCAATATATGAAATAATGAGACTATCCATCCTACGACGTGGA